GATCATCTGCCCACTTGACGTACTTGCGGTCGTCAAGCACGACAAGTCCCTCATCTATTGCCCGTTTGAGGTCCGGGCAATCCCTCTTGATATGATCTTCTCCTCTACATGAGTTCCTGGGAGTAGATGCCCTGTCGTCTGCGCCTCTAGACATCGAATTCCTGGCCGCCTTAGGGTCAAGCGACTTGGGATATGGTTCTGATGAGACACCATATCCCCCTCTTTCATTCCGATCGCGCGAATCGTTGCGCCGGTCTCCTCCAGACCCTCCTTGCTCATACCGCCCTTGCGAATCATTCCGGCGGTCCCCCGAGTCATATCGTGCTCGTGATTCATCGCGTCGGTCCCCTCGGTTGTACCATCCCCGCGACTCGTCGCGCTGCTCTCTCGCATCCCCCCCGCGCTCAAACCGTCCTCGCGACCCATCTCGTCGTTCCCAGTCCCCATCTCCTCTCTCATATCTACTTCCTCTGTAGCCATCTCGACCCGACCTCTCGTCTTTGTCGTCCCTATATCCATCTTGGTCCGTTCTCTCGTATCTGTCGTTCCTGTCCCATCGGCCGCGGGAGTCGCCTCTACCCCGATCGGCCTCATAGCGAGGGCTTCGGGGGTAATAATCTAGCCTCCTTGCTCGCACAAACAGCTCGCGATCTCTGCGGTCTCGGTCTATCTCATCGTCCCTACGTCTCCATGATTCATCGTCTCTCTCTCTTCCCCTCGTACGATAATCAGTCAGCGTCCGAGGATTTTTATCCTCGACACTCCTCCAGGGATCGCTGTTCCTACGGTCCCAGCGAAGTGAATAGGRCCCTCCAGGTTTGTCCCGGTAGGCCGTGACCCCTGTGGCGGTCACAATCTCTGTAACCTGTCTCGTTAATCCCTTCACCATGTCCCGTATCTCCTTCACTTCCTCAGCCACRGCCTCATTCTTCTCCGACCAGGGATAATCCTTGAAATCAGGACATCTATCAGTGGCATACTCCTTGTAGAGAGAGAAGTCACGTCTCCTCATTCCTCTCCACACTAAGTCCTTGTAATCGTCTGCCTCTGCCTTTATCGCGAGCTTTAGGACTTCTGGGAAATCAACCCTATGGCGCGGAAGATCTCTAAGTATACTCTTTTGCCTACCTTTGGACAAGTGTCCGATGAAGATAGTACAGCGCTCGACCTCTGAGATCTTCCCCTTCT